GGCTACTGTACATGGGCATTGACAATATTTCAAAGAAATTTAATAGGGTTTTAACGTGCCTGAGGACGTATTTTTATGATACACTGAAAAAAGCTCAAAAAAAATCACTGAAGTCTAAAGGTAAATGTTATGTATTTACAAAATATTTTGATATAAGTATTTAATCATCAGACCACAGTTAATATAAAATATATGCTCCAGTGTATCTGAAAAATAATATACATTTTAAAAATATACATGTCTATATTATGCAGAGAATCCTAAATTCACATCATTGAAGCTAATGAGTCTGATCTTACATAGCCGTTGGTTTTATTGTCTCTTAAACTGAAAGAAAAAAAGGAAAATAAATATACAGAATATACATTGAAGGATATTAAGGTTATAGATAAACCATAAAAAGCTAGGAAATACCATAATAAGCGTTGTATATATGTATGGGTCACTGGGGAAGTGACCAACAAGGGTAAAATTGGCATCTAGTTCTGAAATTACCGCAGGACTTAATACCGAACTGCAATGCCCCAGTGAGCAGGGGGAAAGTGTTAGTTTTCCTGATTGGCCCCTGTTTTCGTGGTTTGAATAAGAACCTTAATACGCTTCAAAGAAGATTATTTTATGTGTTTTCTTTGTAACGTGTTATATGTGTGGTTTTCCTACATGCCTGCTCACACGGACGCATTGTACATATGCATGTGTAGTCAGAATGCACCTCCTCCTCTTCCTCCCCTGGGGGTCCTGGTGCCCTGGGTGAGAGTGCCCACCCGTGCACACTTGCACTGGTGTGAGCACGGCCACGCGTGCACGGCTCCCATGCACAGACGGGCTGAGGGGATGTGCCCAAGAGCTGTTTCCGATGGTGGTTTCCTTTGCATGAGAAAAGGGATTTGCATTTGGCCTGACTCTGCTTGTGCATTTTTAGAAAGTCAAAGCTACAATACCCGCAAAAGCGTGAACGTACAGAAGGTGGAATATTATCCTTGTCCTCAGCCCTAAACCTAACCTTCCTTTTTCTGTTTTCATTTGACTGTAAGGGGCACATCTTTCCTTGCATGACAGCTTCGCAGAAAAATCATAATTCCCCATTTTGTTGTAAAGACATACTGTTCAGATAGATTCTACAGGGTGCTGGAAGTTGAGAGGGAGGGAGGATGTAGTCAGCTTGGGGTAGGACTGTAACAACTGGAAGCACTGAGGACAGGTGGTAGGAGTGGTGCATCTTTAATACCACTAGAAGATACCAGCTGCCATCACTACGGGACTTGAGTGCGGCAAATTATTCATTGTATGCGTTTTGTTTGCCTTGTGGCATGTCTGCATCGAGAAACCAATAGAGTGACACTAGCCTAGCTCCCTCTCACGTAATGACTAACACGGACCGTCATTAAAACGCTTTGACTTCCCTTCATTTCTCTCTCTCTTTCTCTCTCTCCTTTGTTTTCTGCCTCATTTTACCTCTGTCCTTTGCATGCTGGTGTGGTGGGCGGCTTCCTCCCGGGTGCTAACCCCTGGTGCGGAGCCGGGTGGGAGGGCGGCCGCGCTGTCTGCCGAGGCCAGGTGCTCCCCAGTCCCTCTCTCTCTCTCTCGAGCTTTCTATCGCATGCCCAGTGTAAGTACATTTTGCAAATCTCTTGGCGGTTCGTCTGGCTGCTTGCTATGTACATATTTTAAGGACAATCATATCCTTAAAAGGAAAATGGGAAAGTAGCTTGTCATAGGGGCGTCAGTATTTTGAGTCATTGCGACATACTGACGTTGATTCAGGGTAATGGTCGTGTGAGAGTAAAAATACAATTTAATGCTCAAATTAACTTTGTATTTATAAAACGCGCTTTTGTCTTTAAGCCATCTATGTTTTTTTTATTTCTAAAGGTAATAGAAAATTTAATATTTACTATGGCTTTCAATTTTCATAGAAATATATTTGTATAACTCCACACAATGCCTAAAACAATCATTGGAAGGAGGTTCAAAGGCTTTCTTTAGACCTGTATTTAATTCCTGAAAGATCCCTGTAAAATACTGTGAGATGTCTAAGAACAAACAGTTAATGGCTTGCTGGATTTAAAGGCTGAGACATAAAGACGTAATAGTCCTGAGGCATTCTGTGGTGGTTTGCATTCTTATTTCTGTTACCCTGTTCAAGAATATGTTTTCCTTGGCTTTGGTAGGTATCAAGGTAGAAGTGGTATTCTGAGTCCCAAAGATAACATTCCCAATGCTGTCGTCGTTTTGATTTTCTTAAAGAGTACTTTATTTGGTTTATTTGTTATTTTGTGGTCTGAATGATGCTTTGTAACTATCAGCTTGTATGTCATTCATAAAGGATTTTATAGATCAGGACTTGGCATTTAGTTACGTGTACTCTTTGCACTTTCAGGTTACTACTGGTAAATTTTGTATGTTCTTAGGATATTTCTATATATTGTGTAGTGTTTTATAGCTATCTACAGTGATTTCAGTGGTATACATTCCTGTCCAATATATCAGCACAAAAAAAAAATCCCTTCAGTAGCATGAAATGATGTTTTTGTGGACTTCTTTTGTCATGATAGGAGTTAAGTTTCCTGTACTATATGTCGCCTGCAACAGACATAAAGGGTCTTATTTTCCTTGTAGCGCGTATACATTTTGCTCTTGCCAGTAATAGGACTCAAACACATGTAGTAGATTTCAGCAGAAATTTCATGACTAGAATAAGAAAAATCTACGTTCAGTCTTATTCCACTGCTCACCAGCATTTTCTTCATCCACTGTGACTATCCTCCCAGCCATTCAGGGCAGTAGAGGACTGAATTATAAAAATCACATGTGTAGATTTACACTACGAAAATTAATTCACTGATTATTTTTTAATGAATCTTACTAAATTATTTATCTAAGCTAAGTGAATATTGCACCAAAGTCTTCAAAATGTCTGATACAGATGGCGTTTTCAGTAAGATACTAGAAGTGAGGATGAGCCAAATTAACAGGCTTTGCTTAGCAAAGCAAAACCTTGTTGTTTCTTAAATTGTGGTACTGACTGAGCTTGCAGATCAAAGGGAGCCATTGATTCCGCTACATGGCTGTGCTTGGAGGTTGTTGGTTTTTTTCCCTGCTCTAATGGACTACTGTCAGAAAAGGCTTTTCAGCAAGATAATTGTATGAAAGAGGGGGTTCGAAGGAACAATAGCCACTTACAAGGCAGATGGTTATCTAACAGCCACAACGGGGGACCCTAAGCAAGGTGGCCTGAAAATGTGTTTTCATAGTTACTGATATGAAAGGCTGAGGCTTCTGTCTTGGAAAAACAAATTGACATCGACTCAAAGATGCTGCAGAAATGAGTCTTGGCAGAGTTTACACGTGACAGCTTCTTCAGGGTTTGTTGTTTTGGTTTTCTTTTGGCGGGTCTTTCTTTGTGTTTTTTTTTTTTGGCTTTTCCATTTTTATTTTTTTCCCCTTGCTTTTGTTTTCCCCTCTTGCTTAGGTTTTCGTTACGATGACATAACCCCACGTGCCCAAGCAGAATTGCACAACAACTGACTCTTCTGAGATTCAATGCTGAGAACACACTGT